GAAGGCAGTCGCTTAACCAACTGAGCCACCCAGTCGCCCCTCCAAAGGAATTTTTATATGTTAAAGAAGACTTACAGGGTCCTGGAGGTTGGGTTAATATTAAGATAAGTTTGCCTTTTGCTCTTAGCGAAGTATTAACATCAAGGTAGTTGAGTTCCTAGATGAAGGTCACTCTGCCGCTCTCAAGGTCTTGTCAATGAGCTGTAAGTTGTAAGGAAATTTAATTTTTTTCTTTTGCCTTTGTTCTTGGCATCATCCCTGAACCCCTCAGCAGGGTGCACCAACCCGGGCAGGAGCCCCCACTGGCCCAAGTCATCACTCAGCCCTGTGGTTCCTATCTGGGTGTGTTAAGCCCCAGCTCTACACTTTCCAGGGAGGGGAGGAGAGAGGCAGGAGGGGAGTGTTGGGGGGAGCAGTTGGGAGACAGCCGAGGGGAGGGGCTGGACACCCCACCCCATGTTCTGTCATTACCTCTGTCATTCCCGGAATGGAGGAGGGCCTCCTGGGGTCTCAGCAGAGCTTCCTGCTGGTAAGTCCCTTCCCCAGTGGCCCCCCACCCCTCCCACAGGCCCACCTGGCCCCAGCCCCACTCCCAGCCCCTGCTGCAGATGACCTCCTGTGGCACAGAGGCCCCGGGGGTGGGCGGAGGTGGGCATCCACACCCCATGGGCTCTGCCCTCCTTCTACGGGCCTCTTCCCGCATCCTAAGGGCCACATGGGAAGAAAGAAAGACCCCTGTTGAAGGGGGCCTGGGGCCTCGGGCACTGAGCCGGCAGGAGATCCTGCCTGGTCTGCCTCCCTCTGAATACAGATCTGAAGTCTTTGAGCACCCAGCCTCTCGGGCAGGCTGGAAAAAGGTTCAGGACTGTGCCCAAGGCCTTCTGGGTCAGGCTGAGAAGCAGAGTTTTAACAGAAATCAGCTTAGTGGAGAGCAGGGGTGGTGGGGAGGCTGCTTTCTCAATCCTCCTCCTTCCCAGAAGGAAGGAAGCCTGTATTTTAGATACCACAGCAGCCCTCTTGGGCAACGAGCTCCCCTTTCCAAGACGCCATCAGCCTCCAAACACATCCTGGGAGAGAAGTGGGTCTCCACACCTCTCCTCCCCCAGCCTCCCTGGCATCTTGGATGGAGCTGGCCTGGTCTTGCAGTCTCCACCCCCAACCAGCTCTCCAAGTCTTGGGCCAAGGGAGAGGGCAGGCCTTCCTTGGCAGTAACCCAGCCATGCCCACCCTACCCTGGCAGGAACCCCTGGACTACAGCGGTCCCGCTTCAGGTGTCAACCTGCCCTTGAACTCTAGCCATGTGCCTTTGGATGCACCACCTGTCCATCCCACCTCGCGTCCTCACCCCACACTGAGCATCATGAGCAGTGCCCACCTCGCTGGGTTGTTGGGAGGTTGAATGGGGACGGTGCGTGGGGAACAGGGACCTGACACGCAGTAGGCTTTCCAGGCTTTCCGCTAGAGCTGGCGTCCAGATCGAGGGTTCTTTTTTTTTTTTAAGATTTTATTTATTTCTTTGACAGAGAGAGACACAGCGAGAGAGGGAACACAAGCAGGGGGAGAGGCAGAGGGAGAGGGAGAGGGAGAAGCAGGCTTCCCACTGAGCAGGGAGCCTGACGTGGGGCTCGATCCCAGGACCCCGGGATCATGACCTGAGCCGAAGGCAGCCGCTTAACAACTGAGCTACCCAGGCGCCCCCAGATCGAGGGTTCTGCAGCCAAGAAGGCCCCAGCTTGGGGTGGGACTCCCAGGAAGCTGCATTCATCCCAGCCGGAGCAGCGGCACAGAGGGGAGGGTTGGGGCCCCTCTGAGAGCTGAGCCCCGGGTGCCCCAGGGCCCTGGCAGAAAGAGGGAGACCATGGGCAGGCGCGGTTGGCCTGGGCCTAACGTAACGGGCTCCTGATGCTGACCCACTGGAGACCCGCTGTCACTCCTCAGGCGGGAGCGCGGGTCATCAGGGCAGACAGGCTGGGGGGCTGCTCAGCAGCCGCTGCTCCGGGCTCAGCTGTCCGGCTACTGGAGCGAGCCCAGGCGGCCCCGTGGAGGATCGTCCTGTGGCATTAGAATAAACCGCAAACTCAGGGCTTCAAACATTAGAAAGTTACTCTTTCACGGCTCTGGAGGCCAGGGATCTGAAAGGAAGTCATGGGTGGAGCCGCACCCCCTTCCGAAGGCCCTTCCCGGCCTTTCCAGCCCCTGGTGCACCAGACGTCAACGTGGCGTGTGGCCGTGTCCCTGCAGTCTCTGTCCTCACCTGGCTTCTCCTCTGGCTCTGTGCTTCCAACCTCCCTCCCCTTCCTCTTACAGGGACACCACCAGATCACCCAGGTGTCTCATGTGAGATCCGTAACTTAATTACACCTGCAGAGACCCTGTCTCCAAACATGGCCTTATTCACAGGTTCTGGGGTTTAAGACGCGGCCACATCTTTTGAAGGCACCATTCCCTTGGGGGTCCCATGGTGGCCTCTTCAGGGTTTCCCTCCACGCACGTGCCTGCAGGCTCCTTCTACGCAGGGTCCACTGCCCGGCACCCTGGCAGCCCCGGCCTCAGCGTGGGGTCCGGTTTGTACAGCAGGACATGGGGGTGGGGTGCGGTGCGTTCCCGCTGGAACTGTCCACAGTCCGTGCTCTCCTCCTCTGTGCCCGACGCTCCCAGCCCCTCCTGCAGCACGTGTGCACCCGAGCTGGGCTCCTTCCTCCTCCCCGAGGGCCTTGCCACCCTAGGAGCTCCTCCTTGAGCTGACAGAGCCGCCACCGGCCTGGGTCCTGGGAGGGAGGAGCGCTTCCCCTGACTGGGAGCACCCACTTGGGAGCACCCACCTGGACTGGCACATGAAAGAGAAGTGAACTTCTCCACAAGCCACTGTGGCTGGATCCCCTGTCACAGCCACCAACCCCGCACCCCCTAACTAGTACTAGTTACAAGAACCAGAAACCCATCTCAAACCAGCTGAAGTCAAAAGGAGATCGAAATGCAAATCAAAACCACTGTGAGACACAGTTCACACTCATTATGATGGCTATTCTTTAAAAAATTAAATTACACCCCCCCCCCAAGAAAGTAACAGGTGTCAGTGAGGACGTGGAGAAATCGGAATCCTGTGCGTGGTGGGTAGGAATGGCAGCTCGCGAAGTCACTGTAGACGACAATTTGGAAGTTCCTCAAAAAGCAAAACCTAGACGTACCGTACAATCCAGCAATCCCACTCCTGGGGATGCACCCAGAAGAACTGAAAGCCGGGTCTTGAACAGATATTTGCACACCCATGTTCCTTTCCTTCCTTCCTTCCTTCCATAAGCCCTTGTCTGTGCTGGATTCTGCACCGAAGCCCTGTGGGCCCATCGGGGACCAAGCCCATGCTCTGCCTTCACAGGTCTAATAGGCGGTGAGGAAGGACCAAGTGAGTTAGTCTCTCTAATGCACCAGGGCCTGGCATAGAGTGAAAGGTGCAGAAGTGTTTGCTGTTAAACTAGCACCCACCTAGCAAGCCGACCCTGTCCATGCCGGCCGAGCCCCACGCTCCCTGGTCCCACCAGTGTGTGGACATTGACATTTGCATGTCGGACCTGAGCCCAGCCTGGAGGACGGGAGCGCTGCCTTATTTTCCTCGCAGGGGCTGGGGCACAGTAGGATCATTGCACGGCATGGACAGAGACCCATGGGGCCCAGAGCCAGCCCCAGGACAGGTCTCCCGTCGGGGGTGCCTTTCCCCTTCAGAGTCCTGGGACCCTGCCTGGAGCCTGGCCCCAGGACAGGAGTCTAGCATGCTGGAAGAGTAAGGGAGCAGAGCTAGGGCAGAGGAGCAGGACCTTGAAGCAGGGGGCCAGGGAAGCCAGGAAGTTGGGGCTCAGCCACCCGCTCCTTTCTCAGGGAGACGCTGAGCCCTGGTCAGGCTGAGGGGACCCTGGGTGCACATGAAGAGCTAGCTGTGGGCCCTAGCCGCAGGCAGCCCGCACAGGCGGTGAGCCTTCCCTTTATCAGCAAAGAAAGCATTTACAGTCAATAAACGGGCTAATTAATTCTCCTCAAAGACCTCTCAATTATTCATCCTGGGCTACAGAGAGAACAATTAGAGCATCTCCGCTCATGGCCCTGGAAGTGGAGGCAAGGCTGAGCCACAGAGCTGGACCCCTGGGCCGCACAGCCTGGCGGTCCCCAGGGACTCCGCCGCCAATAGAGGCTGGCAGGACTTGTCTCTGGGGAGCAGCAGGATGGATCCCCTCTTCTCCCTCAAGATCCTTAGCCTCACTCCTGGCGGGGTGGGGGAAAGCAGAGACCCTGAGCCAACGGTGACTTCAGTCCAACAGCCCATCAGAGCAGACTTGTGGACACAAAGCCAGGCTTCGGGCATCCAGCCTCCCTGGAGGGGCTGAAGGTACCCCCCACTGGACCTGAGTGGAGCCCCCTTGGCCTCTAGGAAAGCACTGTGCTGGGAGGAGGGGGCAGAGGTCAAGGAGAGGAGAGCAGATCCGGCCAGAAGCTGCAGGCCAGGCCGGCTGGAGGCAATACCCGCCCTCCAACTGCTGCCCAGAGAAGTCACCCTTGGAGAGCTGGAGCCCAGGGAGGGCCCTTGGGTCCCATGCAGAGCCGCCCTGGTGCCCCAACGAGGCTCCTCCAAGGCGGGGCCTTTAGTTCCCAGCTAGCTTCCCTTCTCCCCTCCAGCTTCCCGGAGTTGCTCAAGTCCCTCTCGGAGGCCTTGAGGGAGAGGGCGACCCGCCTATCCCCCATCCACCTTCTCCTCCCCGGCCCAGGCCCCTCGTTGTGGGCTCTCACTGCCCGGACTCCCCCAAACAGCATTGCCCGGCAAGCTGAGGGTTAACTCCTGGGAGCTCCCAGACCGCGCCGAGTGGGGGGTGGGGGGCCGGGGGGCGTGCCTGTCGGGAAGTATGGATTTCTGCAGTGGTTTTACTGGAAAAGCTGTAGCTGAAGGTGGGAGGGGGTCACCATGGCAACTTCTGGCTATGGGAACAGGTTGGCGGGTGGGAACCAATTCTTCCAGGGGCGCAGGGGGCCCGGCTGGCGCTTGGCACCCGGGGGGCCCCAGGGCTGCCCCCTGCGGGGGTCCTCGCGGTCCTGGGGAGGCACAGAGACCCTTCCCAGCCTGGAATTACCGACTTCCCGGCCTCCCTCCCGCAACCTCTCCCCAGGGCCGGCCCCTCACTCAGCCGCCCCGCCCCCCGCTGAAGTGCCCCCCACACCGAGCTGTTAATCGATGGACCAATTACCATGCGGCCGCCGGGGAGCTCGCGGGAACCTCCCTCTTGAAAAAGCTTTGCCTTGGGAGAGGCTGACTCTGTGGCCAGAGCTGAAATTCAGGGAATGCCATGAATGAGGCTCCCCCTCCCCGGCCCTGCCCCACCGAGGGAGTCTGGGATTGCAGGGGGTCCAAGAAGAGCTCACCCCCTCCGGCCCCAACTGGGAAGTTCAAGAAAATTCTCTCCACCCCCAGCACAAACTCGCGCTGCACCACTCGGGGCGAGGGACATGGGGCCTCCGCAAGCCCCAGACGGGTGTGGGGGGTTGGGGGCGGCAGCCCGCAGGCACAGAAGGCTCCGCGAATCCCGACGCCCCCTGCCCACTGCCGCCTCTGTGGGTTTCCGGGAGCCCCAGGCCTGCCCTCCCGTCTGACCTGACGCTTCGCCCTGCCCTGCCCTGCCCTGCAGCCCATTGAGCCCCCAGACTCCGGAGGGCCTCCTGGGTGCCGGCAGGACCTCAGGCCAGGGAGCGCTGGGCACTGCCGGTGGGAGGGTCTGGAGCTCCCAGGCCCTCCAGGCTCAGGTTCCTAGGGGCCCAGAGAGGTGGTGGAGTTTGGCCTCTGAGCCCTCTCCCCCCCACCGCAAATCCTGCAGGCACTGGGTGGGCGGGTGCGACAGGGAGGGGGTGTGCCCAGGAGGCGCTTCCAGGAATCTCCAGTGGCGCTGCCCAAACGGCCAGGAAGAGGGCGTACAGAGGGCATCTGCAGCTGGGGGGCCCGTCGAGGAGTGAGTGAGGGGGGGAGGTCTACCCTCCACCCTCCCGCAGCTAAAGGAAGGACCACCCGCCCGAGTCCACGTGGGCACCAATCCCAGTTATGCTGGAGGCCCTTAGACGTGTGGTTCCTCTGAACCTGTTTCCCCAGCTGTAAAATGGGCAGGATAAGACCACTCATGTCTCCAGGGGGTGAGCACTGAGACCATTAATGCCTCGGAACGTTAATAGGCGCGGGGTTCCTAGGTCACGCCCGTTCTCTCCCCTTCCCACCCCAACGAAAAAGGAGCTGGGACCTTTCTTAAGGCCTCCTGGGTTTTGCTCACCTCGTTGGTGACCGGGGCCGCACCCGGGCGAACTGGCCTCTGCGAGCGCCCCCTGCTGGCGGGGCCCGCGCAGGCCGGAGCCCAGGTCAACCTGCCCCAGGTGCCGCCTCCCGCAGGCCCGCCGCTCGCTACGGTTGCCCCCAGCGCCCGTCGGTGCCTGAAAGAGTTAAACCGACCGTGGATGAGGTCCTTTTCTCCCTCACCCCAGCCTCGGCCGCCGGCCCGGGCTGACTTAGGGGACACCCAGATCAGCGCCCCCGCCCCCACGCCCGCTTCCGCTGCTCCCCCTACAGCCCCTTCCCCGCCCCCCGCGCCGCCCGGGGCTTCCATCTCGCGCTCTCGGATCTGCCGAATCCCGATAAAACATTTGGGGGAGATAAGTGCTGCGTATAAATAATTAAGACCACATGCATATTCGCCAACAAAAAAAAAGTTTAAAACCCCCATTCCGGGAACAGCTGCGTGTGTGGGGCCCGGGCGGGGCTGCTGAGGCCCACCTCCATCCCACTTGAGGCCTTCCCCACCCCACGGGCTCCTCCGGGGAGGGTCAGCCTGGGGCTCCTCCTCCAGCGAGCCCTGCCCCCAGCCCCAGGGGGAGCTATCTCCCCGCGGGGCCAGAGTCGGTGGGGAGCCGGTGGCAGAGGAACTCCGAGCCCAGGGGATGGGGCGGGGGAGCCGAGCATCACCTGGGGGGTGGCCCTCATGCATTGCCAGAGGCCAAGGCCCTAGGTAGGGTCCCCCAACCTGTATGCCGGCGGGGTCTAGGCACCCAGGTGGTGCCCAATAAACATTTACGGAAGAAATGAATGAGTGAGCCAGTGAGCCAACTGCTCCCAGGCCCCGGCCGTGTCTGTCCCGAGCTCTGGCAGAGGGCACACAGCACTCACCCCCACCAGCTGCTGGCGGGCACCTTCTCCTGGTGCAGCTAGAGGGCCTCAGCTAAGACACTGGAAGGAAGAACTTCCAGAGGGAGCCAGGCCGCAGGCCAGGCGGAGTACAGCAGCCCCCCCTCCCCTCGTCCCAGGCCAGCGGGTCAGCCCAGGATTGTCCTGGGCTAAAGAAGGCGTGTCCCGAGGTGCCTCTGCTCAAGGACCCTCCAGCCTTCCCACCTGCCAGCACAGTCCGATCCCATCCCTCGGGCTGCTCTCCAGGTCTCCTGTCCCCTAGACCACCCACCTGCTCAGGCAGGACTCCCCGCATACAGCTTGCTGCAGGCCTTTGCTGGAGCTGCCCCTGGAGGCCTGCCCCTCTGCCCCTGACTCACGGAACTCGTGTTCTCACGGTCTTCATCTCCTCTCTCCCCCTTCTACTCTGTTTTCTCATCCACATCATTTCACGTATTCCCTTCATGCCCAGGATGTCCCAGGCCCCGGGCGGGGGATCCCGAGAATGAAAGACTCGGGTCTTGCCCTCCAGTAGCCCACAGCTCAGGGACACTGGCAAGTGACCAATGACAAAGGCTGCTCTAAGGTAAGCCAGGTGCAGAGGAAACAGCGAGAAAAGGGTGTGTATCTTGGCAGAGGGGCTATCCTGGAAGACTTCCTGGAGGAGACAAGCTGAGTGGAGTCCGGAAGACATGGGATTCCTCCAAGCGCAGAAGGCAAGGAAGGGTTGACAGTGCCTTCAGGTTCTCCCAGCACTGCCCCCTGCTGGCTCTACACACACCTGTCGTACTCACAGCCATGGGCTCCAGTCCTAACTGCACTACTTACTAGTTACTCTACCTCCTGGACCTCAGTTTCCTCACCTGTAAAATGGAGGTCATGGTCCTGGCTATGCAGGGCTCCTGACCATTCATCCTTGGTCCTCTGTTCTCAGGAGGCGAAGCACCCTACCCCAGCACCCAGCACAGGTCAGCAAACCTAATAGGTGCCCCGTAGATAGAGACTGGTGGATGGATTGAGGACCCTGGCGCTTTCCCCTGTTCTTCCTGCCTCAGCGGCAGGGAGCACAAGCCTCTGTTTACCCAGGACTCTGGGAAGGCACCTTACACTCAGGATGGCTGGCATGCTGCAATCAACAGCCCATCTGACCAGGAACACTTGCGGCCACAGTCTGTGTCCTGCCCTTCCCCGGGGTCATGCAGGCGCGTGACAAATATTTGTTTGTGGAATGAAACTCTCCAGGGAGGAAGCTCCACCCAGGGACCCAGGGCTGAAGAGACAGGGTACCTGCCTCTGTGTGTTGTCCTAAGGGATTCTGGGGTTCCTGCTCAAAGGGCTGCTCCTCTCTCACACCCAGGGGCCAGGGTGAGCTCAGGCTTGTCTCTGCACCCAGCGGGAACCAGAGAGAGGCCTGAGCCCCATCTGTGCCCCTGACATCTCCTAGTCTTAGCATGTTTTTTGTTTTTTGTCTTTTAAGTAATCTCTCCACCCAACGTAGAGCTTAAACTCACGACCCTGGGATCAAGGGTCACACGGTCTACCTATGGAGCCAGCCGGGTGCCCTGACAACTCCTGGTCTTCAGACCCCACCCTGTGACTTCCATTCACTGTGGCCAGCACTCCAGGTCCCCGAACATAGGCTCTTTCTTCATCCTGGACTTTGGACGCAGTAGGCAGGTGCACAGGATAAGAAATTCTAAGATCTAAGAGACAATGACTTTCAAACCTTTCTCCTGTTTGGATCACGCACTCTCTAATACAAAATGTTTGAGCTCGTAACAGTATATGTGTAGTTATTTATAGATTACAAGTTTCCATGACTATACAAATGTATTATTTGCATTATAAAATATTCACAAAAGGTTGCTATTTAAAAGGATCAAATTTAAATCTAAGCAAAAAATTCTCCCTACCCCAGGGGGGTCATCCTGTATATCCCACTCTGGAGACCAAAGCCAGGGGGAGGCTCTTCGGACTCCCCATGCTGTGATGGGGTCCCTGGTGCCTCCCCTACTTTGATCCAATCCCCAGCTTCAGGGTCCAATCTTCCTTCTTTCCAAAGACCCCTCCCCGCCAAAAAACCCTCTGCCACTATGAAGATCATGCTTTCCCTGACCCCAACCATTCTGTCAGCAGCTGACAAGCCAAGCTTGGGGTGCTCAGGGTGTCCTCAACAAGGACCATCTAGTCCCTCCTCGGCAGGGCTGCCAGCAGAGAAAGAAATGAGACTTGTTTGTGGCACAGGGGACAGAAACAGGCCCACCAGGAACAAGATAACAGAAAGATTGGGGATCCTAAGCAGACAGACTTCCTGCAGTTAGGGCATAGGAGGGTGCTCTTCGGTGATTGATAACCCGGGTTCAAACCCAAGAGGCTATCTCTAGAGTACATGGCAGGTGCCCAACACAGGAATATTGTCCATAAACAAGGTAGGATCTGCCCCCAGGGCACTGGATGTCTGTCTGTCCCTGGATTCAGACCCCGCCAGGGGCAAGGCCACCATTCTCACCCGTGTCCCTTGTGACCTGTGACTCCTTTGGGGACATCTACACAGGGTGGACAGGGTAGGCTGGAAATCTACAACAGAAGCCCTTTCCCATCCTCGCCTCCTAGGACCAAGGGCCAAGGGAGTCTCTAGGACAGCAGAGCCCAAAGCCCTGACACCTTTTGTCCTTATGAGTTCTGTCCATGTCCACTCTCTAGAACCTTCTTTGCTCTTCCTTCCCACACAGGTTCTACCCCCCTGGCGGCTGCAGGAGGAGATGGGAGACAGAGGAGGGTCTGGGGGAAGGGCACCCTGCCAAGCTCGAGGGGCAACAGTGGGAGCCCTGACCTCCCACCATGCAGGACCCCGAGCCTGAGCCCCAGGTGCTCAGCCCATGGGCCCCTCACCCTTGAGTCCTCTGCGTCTAGTATGGGGTCAGCGTCTGTGGAACTGGACCCACCCTCCAGACGGGCCGCCGTGCCCATGCCCAGCATCTGAGCCCTCTGTCCTCCCTGCACGCTGGGCCCAGGGGCCAGGGCAGAGGGCCCTGAGTACAGGCGAGGGCCCAGCCTGCACGAAGCTGACCTCGAGCCTCAGCCCAGGCCGTGTAACAGGAAGCCAGAGGCCGATGCCGGTAAGCAAGGCAGATTCAGAGATCAGAGGTCTGCTGCCTGATCAGAAGCGGCCTGGAGTCGGAGGACAGATTACTGGAAGAAGGAGGAAGCTGGGCAGTAAATAACCAGACCCCGAACACTGGCCTCTAGCTGTCGGGAGCCCAGCCGGGCAGTGCAGTCCAGGGGCCCCGGGGAGGGGCAGGGGTGGGGTGGAGGGAGAGGCCCAGGAGGTTCAAGGTGTGCTCTGCTTGCAGCCAGAGCTGGGAGGAGGGGTGGGTCTAGAAGGCAGGGCTGGGGGATGTCCAGAGGGTCCCAGGGCAGGGCCTGAAATGTAAGGAATCTCCAAAGCTCTGCAGAGGGTCGCTTGGGCCCCATCCCCAGGCCACCTGCTCCACAGCCATGCATCCCCAGCCCCCACCCCCCAGGGGGGCCCTTGTAGTGGGGACCCAGCGCTGGGCTAGCTTGGCTCCCCACCAAGGCCTCCCTAC